GTCTCATAGTTAAAATCAAGATCCAGTCTCATCATCTTATTGTTCCATATTCTTATATTCGTTACACTCCCTATTCAAATGCCTGCTCGAACAACCAGGTCTTCTTTCCTCCAAAATGCTAACAGGGAGGAGGCCGATCTAATTTCTGTAGGAAGGTCATTCCACAGCCAAGGGGCCAAGACTAAGAAGGCCCTGTCTCTCATCCCCGCCAAACGTACTTGTGATGCAGGCAGGATCAAGATCAGGGCCTCCCCAGATGATCTTAACATCCTAGCTGGTTCATAGGTATATAAATAAAGTTTTTATTTATTTATTTATTTATTTATTGTGTCAGGGGCAACCAGACCATTGTATTACATTTCTAACAGAACAAAACCAACAAACAGATTAAAAAAAACCCACAAAGTTTGCAAACTTGGTAGTTGATTAAATGTCCTTTGACCAGTATCTGGCCACTTGGAGTGCCTCTGGTGTTGCCGCAAGGAGGTTCTCCATTGTGCGTATGGCAGGGCTCAGGTTGCATTGCAGCAGGTGGTCAGTGGTTTGCTCTTCTCCGCACTTGCATGTCATGGATTCCACTTTGTAGCCCCATTTCTGAAGATTGGCTCTGCATCTCGTGGTGCCAGAGCACAGTCTGTTCAGCGCCTTCCAGTTCGCCCAGTCTTCTGTGTGCCCAGGAGGGAGTCTCTCATTTGGTATCACCCACGGATTGAGGTGGTGGGATTTAGCCTGCCACTTTTGGACTCTCGCTTGCTGAGGTGTTCCAGCAAGTGTCTCTGTAGATCTAAGAAAACTATTTCTTGATTTAAGTTGTTGACGTGCTGGCTGATACCCAAACAAGGGATGAGCTGGAGATGTCACTGCCTTGGTCCTTTCACTATTGGCTGCTACTTCCCGGCGGATGTCAGGTGGTGCAATACCAGCTAAACAGTGTAATTTCTCCAGTGGTGTAGGGTGCAGACACCCTGTGATAATGCGGCATGTCTCATTAAGAGCCACATCTACTGTTTTAGCATGGTGAGATGTGTTCCACACTGGGCATGCATACTCAGCAGCAGAGTAGCATAGCACAAGGGCAGATGTCTTCACTGTGTCTGGTTGTGATCCCCAGGTTGTGCCAGTCAGCTTTCGTATGATACTGTTTCTAGCACCCACTTTTTGCTTGATATTCAGGCAGTGCTTCTTGTAGGTCAGAGCACGGTCCAGAGTGACACCCAGGTATTTGGATGTGCTCGTAGGTCAGAGCACGGTCCAGAGTGACTCCCAGGTATTTGGGTGCGCTGCAATGCTCCAGTAGGATTCCTTCCCAGGTAATCCTCAGAGCTCAGGATGTTTGTCTGTTCTTAAGGTGATTATTATTATTATTATTGGACTTCAACTCCCACCATTCCTATCCACCAGCAGTTGTGGGGGAAAAGGAAGGGGCCTGAGGCTGTTAGGAATGGTGGGAGTTGAAGTCCAAAACACCTGGAGGGCCCAAGTTTGCCTGGGCTAGGAGATCCTCTCACGTAATGCAGCCATTCTGTTGGTATTTTCATTTTGTCTAAAGGGCAGTGCTCAGTATCACTCATACGCCCCATTCCCATTTGAATAGCACAGGCAAACTAATCAGCGAGGAGTCCAAAACCATGCTAGGGTGGGTTCCAATGGCAAGAGAGTCACTGAGCCTTGCAGAACATAGTTTGGGCTCAGATCTCTCTCTGCAAGGCCCTGCCGGGGATGTGACCCACGAGACATTGGGCAAAGTCTCGCCGTGGAGACGACAGAAAACTCGTGGGAAGCAAGAGCGCGCGCCCACCGACCCAGCCGCGCGCCCCGTGCTCCGCGGATGCGCTGTATCACTCGTCACGCCCTCCCCGCCAGCCTGGCGTTCACGCGCCAGCCTCCTGCTCCCTTCCGCATGGGAAGCAGCGCCGCTGCCATTGGCTGGCCCGGAACGTTCGGAGCACGCCCATTGGCTGCGGCGCGGCTTAGCCCCCCTTGGCGAGAGGGCTTGCGACGAAAGGATCGGTCTTAAGAGGTATCGAATGCCTCAGATCCACGCTGGAACCGGAGCTGAGCGAGCTTGGAGCGGCTGGAGGGGGAGCAGGACAAGGCCAGTTGCAGGCAGAGCCCAATTGGGAAGGTATACAACCGGCAGAGGCTTTGTTTCGCCGGACAGACAAAAGTGCTCCAGGTTCGAAGAGGGAAGTTGGAGGAAACGGAATACTTTCGGGTAGGTGGAGCCCGGTTGCTCTGAAAAGTGCTTTTTGGGGCTTAAGCGTGCAAGATCTTGTCCAGGGAATGGAGGCCGTTGGTTGAAACCGGGAGGGTTTTATCAGTGAGGTTCGGTTGGGAGAGTAAACTTGTCAAGAGACGAGGAACCTTTGGGTGCATCTACTTCATCACACTAGAGAAAAGAATCCGCTTTAAATCTGGTTTCTGCCTCCTGCAGAACTCTGGGATTTGTAGTTAAGTGAGGCTGTTAAAGGCTCCTCCCTAAACTACAAACCCCAGAATTCTCCAAGAGGAAGCAACCGGATTTGAAGTGGATTCATTCTCTAGTGTGATGAGGTCACTATACTGTGCGGATAATACAGTTTGATACAGTGCTATGAAACCATGATAATATTGGTTTTGCAAGCCTTCTCTTCCCAGGAGGACTGGTGCCTCACCAAACTGCATTAATTCTACAGTGCAGATGCACCCACTGCCATTTAACAGCCTTGCTGAGTGAGGTCTTGCAAAAGCGTTGACTTCCATGATTGCATCTACCTACCTGTAATGGCCTTCCTCTTTTCCTTCTGCTTGACTACCTATGGTTATCTTTTTGATGCCAACTCCAAAGGAGCAGTCTCACTGCCATAGAATCCAGATTATCCAAGCATTTGTGCTGCTATAGAATTCCCCTCCAGCACCATGTCTCAATGAATGGATCCCAAGGAATGCTTTTGGAGATCTGATTGATTTTTATCTCCTGGTGGGCAGATCCAAAGGACTGGAAGAGCCTGCTGTGCAAGATTTGGCCCAGCTATTCAAGGTGCAACAGCCTCCTCCTGCTTTGTCACCAGGCCGCCCGGCTTTCCATTATTTAGGCTTTAAACTTAAATTAAAGCTTACCTCTTTTGTGGGGACACACCTAATTATTATTCTTTCTTGGTGCTTTTAGGTCTATTTCCTGGAGTTATTTGGGGTGCTGATTTAGAAAATAGTATTGGATAGACCACATCAGCTCTAGGTTATTAAATATAGTTATCATGATTTTCTGTGGGTGAACAGATGAAGACAGGCAGGTGGCATATCTACTGTATCCCAAAAGCTAGAGCTGATATTCATAGAATGAGCAGGTCAGATATACCCAGAAACAGGGCTAACACTTGAGCCACCAAAATGTGTGTTGACCAGTGTTACTTATGTTTCAGTTGGTTCAATTGGTTGTATCTCCTCCCCCCCCCCCCCAAATTACCTCTATAATTGTGAAAGACTGGAAACTTCTAAAATGCAGAGTAATGTGTGCTATATTGGGGTTATTAAAACCTTTTGAGCTTTTAATCAGGCTGGATCTACACTGCCATATAATCCAGAGCATCAAAGCAGGTAATCTACACTATCTCTTTTGAACTGGATTGTATGAGTCTACACTGCCATATAATCCTGTTGAAAGCAGATAATCTGGATTTTATATGACAGTGTAAAAGGGACCTTTGAGCTCTTTTCTCTGGTCCTCCTCTCTCTCACCATCCTATCCTTCCTTCTCTCTTTCCTTCCTTCCTTACCTCCCCTCTTTCTCCCTCCTCCTCCCTTACTTTCCTTCCATCTTCTCTTCCACCCTTTCTTCTCTCTTTCCTTATTCCTTCCCTTCCTTCCTTATCTCCCCTCTTCCTTTCTTTTTTCTTTCTCCCTCCCTCCTTCCCTTTCATCCTTTCCTCTTTCCTCCCCCCTTCCCTCTCTCTTTCTCCTTCCTTCCTTCCCTTTTGTCTTTCCTCTTTCCCTTCCCTTCCACCTTTTCTTCCTTCTATCTTCTCTTCCAACCTTTTTCCTTCTCTCTTTCCTTCTTCCTTTTCTTCCTTATCTCCCCTCTTTCTCCCTCCCTCCCTCCTTTCCTTCCACCCTTTCATCCTTCCCTCTTTCCTCTCTCCTTCTCTCTCTTTCTCCTTCCTTCTTTCTTTGTCTTTCCTCCCTCCATTCCTTTCCACCTTTCCTTCCTTCCATCCTTGTCTTACTCCCTTTCTTCTTGCCTTCCTTCTCTTTTTACTTCCTCCGTTTCCTCTGGGGGGATGTTTAGCTGTGAGAAGGAGGAGGTAGAGAAAGAACACGAGAACCATGTTTCAAGATTTTAAAGGGTGCTGCTCTAGAGACCAGAGCACAAGGGAGTAATGGATTCAAATGGCAGAGAAAGAGATTTGACTGAAAAGATTAGGAAGAACTTCCTGAAAGTAAGAACTGTTGGAGAGTGGGGTAGGCTGTCTGGGAGTGTGGTGGAGTCTCCTCCTCTAGAGGCTTTTCTGCAGAGGCTGTCTATCGGGAGTGCTTTGGTTGTGCCTTCTTGCATGGCAGGGGGTTGGACTGGATGGCCCTTAGGGATCTCTTCCAGCACTTAAGATTCTAAGATTATATACAGTATACACTTTTCCCCCTCCAGTCCACCATCTCATCCTGACCAAGGCCAACCCTTTTGGAATCCACACTTTTCCCACTTTCTGCCTCTGAAAAAGAAAAGGAAGGGGAGGAAAGGGCAGGGAGGGTTCTTGGGGAGAACCCCCTCCCTCCCAGCCCGCCCACCCTGCTCCGGCCCACCATGCGGCCCTCAAGTTAGAAAGTTTGCCCATGCCTGCTATAAATCCTATCCAGTGGTTAAAGTGGGTGTGTGCACTTTGGTGTTGGCATAGAAGTGCCTCTATCCGAATTTTTTATTGTTGTAGCTTTGAAGGTGGCTTCTTTTTGCATGCATGAGAAAGAGCAGGCACTAATGGCTGCTGTTTGTTTCAAAGAGATCTCTGATTATAAGCCATCCCCTTTTGTTGTTTTAGATCATGAATGTGTAGCTTCTGTGGAAGTGAAATCCCTGTGAACAGCCAGGCTCCAACATCTTGAACCATCTTTGCTGCCAACTTCTTTTATCCCTATGCGGTAAGGAAAACATAATACAGCTTATCTTCACAAATTCAACTTCAAATGCATTTTAACTACAGTGTAATCCTATGTATACCTACTCAGAAATCCCATTGTTTCATGCTGTTTAGTCCCAGTAGATGCACTTTTGTTGTTAGCTTTGAAATGTTCTTGCCGTTTGGGAAAGAATTGAGTCATATCTAACTTCTAACTATATTCTTGGTAACATAGGTTACCCTGGTGGTTATCAAATTGTGTGGTGAAATCCTTGGGGGATACACGCAATAGTTGCACAAGACATTAAATTATTATTTGTCATTTCATGAAAGCAGCTTCTTATTGAACCCGTTCATTTTAGTCAACTTTACATTTAGAGACAAGGATATCTAGCACATTAAGTATAACCATTACTTGAGAAAGGTAACAGCAAACATTAAACAAGTGAGTCATTAAAAATTAAAAGCAGTAATATTCATGGTATAGGGCCTGCAGTGGCGCAGTGGTTTAAACTGCTAACCTGCAGAACTTGCTGACCGGAAGGTTGGCGATTCAAATTCACAGGTTGGGGTGAGTCCCGTTGCTAGCCCCAGCTTCTGCCAACTTAGCAGTTCAAAAGCATGCAAATGTGAGTAGATCAATAGTTCCCGCTTCAGCGGGAAGATAATGAAGCTCCATGCAGTCATGCTGGCCACATGATCTTGGAGGCATGTCTGGACAACGCCAGCTCTTTGGCTTAGAAACGGAGATGAGCACCACCACCCCGGAGTTGGACACGACTAGACTTAATGTTAAGGGGGAACCTTTACCTTTACTTTATTCATGGTATGGACTTTAACCGTGTGCTATCAATGCTCAAGTTTAGGAGTAACTTTTATTTTGTGTTGAATTAAGCCTTGGATTTATGTAAATCTGTTGAAGTTGAACAATATTATTACCTTATAAACCATTAAAAGTATTAATAGTGATCAATTTGTGAATGAAAATACATGCACACTAAGCATTCAATATATTTTATTTATCTACTTCATTGTGTGTGTGTGTGTGTGTGTGCGCGTGCATGATGTAAAGAGGATCACAGGGGTAAACATTTTGAGAATCACTGGATTACCACAAAGGATTCAAGGAATTGTAGTTTGGTGACAATTTCGTTCAGTATCCCTCCTGCATTCCAGAATCAATTCCTCAGGAATGGTGATTACTGTTAAGCCTATGTAAAGGTGCAGTGTTATATACATAGTGGAACTCATTTCTATGTACACATTTACAGCAGAAGTGGAAATCATGCAACCTTCCGGGTGTGATTGGTTTGCACCTCCCCTCAACCCTAGTTATCATAGCCTAGGTGAGGCATGGGCAAACTTCGGCCCTCCGGGTGTTTTGGACCAACTTCCACAATTCCTAACAGCCGGTAGGCTGTTAGGTATTGTAGGAGCTGAAGTCCAAAATTTTTAAGATGTCTAGGAGGATGGTTTTTGAATTCTGTTCAATTTATCGAGGATAAACTGAGCATATCTGCCCCCTATGAAGCCTTTTACATCCATACATAGTCTACACTAGTGGTTCTCAAATTCTGGGGCTCCAAAAGTTTGGGGCTTCAACCTCCAGAAGTCCAAGGGGAGAGGAATTCTGGGAATGGATGTTCTGGAGGCCCAGAGTTTGGAAACAAATGGCTTACACCAATCTTCCTGAACACAAGGGCCTCCATCTGTTATGATATGCAATTCCCATCATTCTTAATCTGCTTGCTCACTTTTCAAGAAAAAGTCCCAAGAAATCTGTAGCAGATGTTTTGGGAGTAACCGCTCTACACAGCCCATAGACTTTGGGCCAATTTGTATGTTGGCCAAGTGCTCAAGGGCTACATTATATGCAAATCACCTTTAGTTCTGCTTCTTCTCTTATTTTCTCCAAACTCAACCAGTGTTCACATTTGGGCATATTAAGTATTCATGCCAAGTTTGGTCCAGATCCATCATAGTTTGAGTCCACAGTGCTCTCTTGATGTAGGTGAACTACAATTCCAGAACACAAGGTCAGTGCCCACCAAACCCTTCCAGGATATTCTGATGATCATGGAAGCTCTGTGTGTCAAGTTTGGTTCAATTCCATTGTTGGTGGAGTTCAGAATGTGCTTTGATTATAGGTTAACTATAAATCCCAGCAACTACACCTTCCAAATGACCAAATCAACCCCCCTCCCAACCCCACCAGTATTCATATTTGGGCATATTGGGTATTAGTGCCAAATTTGGTCCAGTGAATGAAAATCCATCTTGCATATCAGATATTGACATCTCGATTCATAACAGTAGCAAAATTACAGTTGTGAAGTAGCAACAAAAATAATTTTATGGTTGGGGGGCACCACAACATGAGGAACTGTGTTAAGGGGTCGCGGCATTAGGAAGGTTGAGAAACACTGCCTTAAGTAAGGGCGGTCAGGTCACTCTGAATTCTAACACACTTTCCCTGAGTGGGTATCAGCTTTCTGGGAAGCATAATTGCACATAAAAATATAGATCTGACTTCTTGGATTCTTCCAGGGGAAATACATTGGGACTTCAGTATCCGCAGGGTTTAGCTTTCAGGACTTTCTATGGAAACCAAAATCTGTGGATTCTCAAGTCCAGTTGTATACCATGGTGTAATAAAAAGGTGTCCTTTTTAATTTTATTTATTTATTTATTTATTTTTGCTTCTTTTATTTTGTGGAGAGCTACTTTCAAGTCATAGATAGTTGATTCCATGGATGCAGTCCGTGGAACAGAAGGCCAACTGCATGGTATTGAAACATTCCTTCAAGTTTGGAAGTGTTCCTCGGGGTATGATGTAGGGCATGTGAGGAGGGTGCATTTGGCTGAATTAGAGCCCTCTGAAGTCTTTATACGGAAGATCTGCCTCCGGCAACCCTAGATATTCATCCAGGAAGGAGGGTGAGGCAGCATTTTCCCATGTGACCTGGAAAAGTGAACCTGCTGACTCACTGTGAATGAAGCCTTCTTGGCTTGTTGTTTCATTCCAGCATGGTGTCAAAAGTAATTGAGAGAGGCTGCCGATCCCACAGTGCTGGGCAAGAGAAGACTGGTGTCAGCTTAAGATCCAACATCTGAAGGGCCAAAAGTTCACAATCTCTGGTGTAAAAAAATAATTTAAATATCAGCATAGGAGACCGGGTTGAAATCCCTGTTTAGACATGAAGTCCATGGTGATATCGCTACATGTTCAATGCTTCTCTAGTAACTCATCTTAGTACGTTGTTATAAAAATAAAATGGAACCTCAATCTCCATTGGAAGTGTAGGATGCATATCAGGCTTTTTTTAATGAATGAATGAGACTGTAATTTTTGCTCAGGATTTTAGTGGCACCTTCTACACTTCCATATAAAATCCTGATTATCTGCTTTGAACTGGATTATATGGCAATATAGACTCATATAATCCAGTTCAAAGCAGATAATGTGGATTGTCTCTTTAATAATCTGGATTATATGGCAATATAGAAGGGGCCTTTATCTCTTTCATAATATTGGAGAAGTTTACATGGAAGAAAGTGTCACATAAATGAATCATGTTTGCATCCGCTTGCACCCATCCGCAGGATTGGGTGCAAGGCTTTACATTGTTATGGTTGCAAGCATTAAAGTGAATAATTTCATACAAAGGGATAAGTCAACCAGGACTGGATTCTTTTAGCTTTCTCCCTGCATAGTGTCTGTTTGAATGTTTCCTTTACTGTCAGTGGTTGTGGTGTCTGTGGCTAGGAGGCCTGTAGCATTAGTCACTTCCTATACTTGGGGAGGTCGTGCACTTCACATTAATGTTGAGATGCGGTCAGGGCTGCTAACCTTTGGAGTGAGCAGCTACACAAATTGTATGAGTATTTTTACATCATACAGGTGGGTCAGATGATGGAGGTACATCCCATAATAGTATCTTGGAGCTGTGGGTGTTACTGTATTTGGGGATGGGGATAAAACCATGCTAGCAAATATAATGTGGGATCCAGCCTGGAGACCTTAAATATTCCATCCAAACAACATCTTAATTGCCCTGCTGTCCTGCAAGCTGCATATTTATTATCAGTTTACCTGACATTCTTGGACTTAGATGTTAAGTGACTATTTGAATTGATATTTCTCCTTAAAAAGCCATAAAACAAATCCTGCCCACAAAAGAAAACATTAGCAATCTTCAACTTTTAGACTTAAAAGTTCAAGTTTTTTGTTTTGATAAATTGTGATAAGTAATGATTAGGTATAACAGTTGGTATTATAATATCGGTGTTATAATTACCATTGGTGGGTATGATAATTGGATATAAAATATATGAATATTAATAGAATCATAGAGTGGGAAGAGACCTTGTGGACCATCCAGTCCAACCCCCTGTCAAGAAGCAGGAAAATTGCATTCAAAGCACCCCCGGCAGATGACCATCCGGCCTCTGTTTAAAAGCCTCCAAAGAAGAAGTCTCCACCACACTCTGGGGCAGAGAGTTCTACTGCTGAACAGCTCTCACAGTCAGAAAGTTCTTCCTAATGTTCAGGTGGAATCTCTTTTCTTGTAGTTTGAAGCCATTGTACCACGTCCTAGTCTCCAGGGAAGCAAAAAACAGGCCTGCTCTCTCCTCCCTCTGACTTCCTCTCACATATTTATACATGGCTATCATGTCTCCTCTCAGCCTTCTCTTCTGTAGGCTAAACATGCCCAGCTCTTTAATCCCCTCCTCATGGGGCTTGTTCTCCAGACCCTTGATCATTTTAGTCATCCTCCTCTGGACACATTCCAACTTGCCAACATCTGCCTTTAATTGCAGTGCTCAGAATTGGACACAGTATTCCAGATGTGGTCTAACCAAGGCAAAATAGAGGGGTTGCATGATTTTCCTGGATCTAGACACTATACTCCTATTTATGCAGGCCAAAAATCCCCAATGGCTTTTTAGCCACCGCATCATATTGTTGGCTCAGATTTAACTAGTTGTCCATGAGGAATCCAAAATCTTTTTCAAGAAATT